CGTGTACTAGAGCTCCAAGAAGTTCTCCTGCTGACAGTGAGTTAAAATTTTAACAAAAAAAATAGTGATTAAGGAGGTAAACAATGATCGAAGATACCTGTCCAAGTGGCACGTGTTTACATAAACCACTTCAAGCCTTTCTGAATGAGAGTGGGAAGGAAATGATTGGTGGCGAGCTGATCACAAATATGTAAGTGGCTAGTGGGACGGAAAGAAGGTTAACTTAACAACAACTTTCCCAAATAAACGATCTCTTCATTTCCTTTCTTATTTAGAAAGCCAAACATTGTTTTTCAATAGACTGGCGCAAAATTTCATACAATAAAAGGAGTGGAGAACCATGAAATTCATCCTCACAGTAACTGATTCTTCATCATAACTCTTTGTAATGAGCACTGACTAATCTGTATCCTAGGCCAGCTGTACCCTGGTCTAGCATCCAGTGGTAACGCTGGCTTCTGGGACATTTGGAAATAGGTACATTCAGAACCCGGATTTTAAAGTCCCTTCCAGGCACGGTTGAATGGAGCAAAGTTGAAGTCCGACAGTTTAGCCACCGAAACATCTACCACATCTGGAGCCAAGAGGGAACGGGGAGCGGAGCCCTTCTTCCTGCTCCTCCTGGGGCTCCCCTGCTGTAGCTCAGGAAATTGCCAAATCAACATCCTTGACCGGGTTTCCACAGCCCTACTCCTTAAGCTCCCCTCTCCCCACCTCCACTAGGAGTTTCTGTGCCCACTTGCACGGGCCATGTGAGAGGGGTCTGGCTCAGAGTGGCATTCTCCTCCCTGCCTCTTACCACCTCCTCTCTCACCACCCCCGGGTGTCTACTAATCCCATCACCCGGAGACAAGTTACCTGCCAGGTCACATCTCTGTCATGCATGAGCATTTTCAGGATTGGACATTATGAAGGATTTGAAAGGTGTGTGTGTGTGTGTGTGTGTGTGTGTGTGCGCGCGCGCGCGCACGTGTCCTTGAGGGTTCCTTCATAAGCAGTTTTATACAGCCATTTTCCTGACATGGAAGAACTTAGAGGGGAGCAGTGTACCCTAAGCCCCATGAAATCTAAACTGCTTCATATTTGAATGAAGCTGTGTCCTAAGCCATGACTTAGAACCCCAAGATGTACCTTCTAAATTGCAAATGAGACCAACATAATACGAGCTGCCTTCATTGGGTCATATTTAGGATTTTTTTTCTGCTGTCAACCAAGCATTCCCTTCAAAATGAAAGATTATCTTATCTAAACAATTTTTTAAAAATCATTCTCATATATGACTAATGGGTGCATACACTTTCAAAATATTTTCCACCCTGCACATGTTTTTGGCAAACCTGTCCCTTCCTGTCATGGACGCCACCCTCCAGAGGATCTAAGAAAAACCCATAGTATTCCAGTGGACACATTCTCTCCTCCTACCCCGGTCCCTACCCCTTACCATGACATGATCCCACCATTCCCCGAGGACACGTTTACACCTTACACCCTTCATTCATTAATTCAACTGCTGCCAATTTCCTGAGCCTTCCGGGTCATCCATCAACCTCGGGCTGCCTCCGCAGTCTGTCTTTGTCTTACACCTTCATCTTTAACCCCCGGTGTGCTGGTAGCAGCCCCTCTGTGTCCATTACCTGGCTGCTCTTTCTTCATCTTCTTGCTCTGACCCTTGGAGACCCTAGGGACTTCGCCCACCCTCTCAGGAGGTGGCTGTTCCCTCTTTCCTCGACTCCCTCACCCCAGGTCACTGGCCCCTGAGGTGGGGTAAGTGCCCTCCTTCTCCTCGTTGCTCCTTTGAGAACTTGGCCTTTTCTTCCCTTTTAAGAACTCCCAGCATCTGGGAGGCACCCCCACTCCCGCAGACTCTGATCCTTGTGGGATCTCCAGTCCACTAGCTAATCTCCACTCTCCATCCCCTCCCTCCCATCTTTCTTTTCCTCTCTACCCGGCTTAGTTCCATGACTTTCTCTTGTCCTTGTGCCTCTCCAAGTTGCATGACTGAAAACCTCCATCCAGCTTTGCCCACCTGCCCCAGAGCAGCTGGATGTGGCTGGGGAAAGGCAAAGGACCACACTGACTGGTGGCTTCATGCTCTGTTCATTGCTGCACACCTCAAGTAGTGTCCCCGCAATCCCTCTGCCCACCCTGGCCGCCCAGCGCCTGGCCGTAGCCAACTTCCTCCCCCCTCACCTCCCAAACTGTTCCACACCCTTCTTCTCCGTTCTCCTTTCTCTTCCTCTCTCCTCTTCCATCCTCCAAACTCCAACCCATCCTTACCTTCAGCAGACGACCTCACTTTTCATTTTCCCTGAGGAGAGAACATGCTCGTCCTCCGTCTCCGCATCTCGCCATCTCCTCACTGCATCGTGGCTGGAGAGCCTGTCTGGCCTCCCTCCTGGTCCCATAGCCAGTGACCCCTTTGCTCACTGAATCCCATCAGCCTATTTCCTCCTGTGATCTTCTCCTTTCTCCCCTACGTCACCAGTTTTTCCCTCCTTGATGTTGAGTCATTCTATCAGCATACAAAATGCTGCAAAATCTTCCCAGGGATCTATTAAAACACCTCTTGATCCCTCTCTCTTCAAGCCCCATTCCTCTGCTGCCCTTGTATGGTTGAATTGTGCCACAGGCTGCCTGGATTCCCTGTCTCTCCTTCATTAGTTCTCCATTATCTTTTGAGCCTTCTTGAGTGAGACACAGTCTGGCAGAATCAAGTACTTTTGTTCCTATCTTGATGGCTTCCATCTTTCCAGGACCAGTGGACGTGCTTGGTCCTTCTCCTTTGATTGGCCTTCTCCTCCTCCTTATGCGTCTGCTCTCCTAGTCTTGCTGACATCACACCCACTTTGTTTTCCCCCCAGCCCACCCTGTTCCTACTCAGTGCCCTGAGAAACACCCCTGACTCCTTGCACCCTCTAACTTCTGGAGTGCCCCAGGGCCCACCCGGCTTCTGTCTCCGGCTTCCCTGTGTTTCCATTCAGATATATGGCCCCAGCCATTCTCCTGCTCTGAATAATATCTGCATGCTCAACTCCAGAATTTCTTCTCTAACCCTGACATTGCTCTGGGTTCACAGATTCGGCTTGATTCTCTAGCCTCTGTTCCATCTCTGACCCAACCTGTGCCAAGGTGCTCCTGGTTCCCCTCCTACTTCTCTCCCTGTTCTCCTTCAGTCAGTGGCTCCTGCCATTCTGGTTCACACCAGAAGCATTGGGGTAAGACTTGATGTCTGTGTCCCACACTCATTGGAAAACCCTCCAGCGTAGTGCAAATCTTCCCTTTCTCCCCATGAGCACCCCATCTGAGTCAGTGTGGCCTCTCCCTCTCTCTTGGTGAAATTGCAGCCTCTATTCTGTTCTCTGTAAACTGTCCTCAGCACAGAAGGCTTCTTGCTGTCCTGGTCCCCTTGCTCACTCTGCTCAGTCACAGGAGCCTTTCGTTTGTTCTCACGTGGGTCAGACCAGTTCCCACCCAGCACCTTCACCTCTGTTCATCCTGTGACTTGGAGGCCCCACCTCTGTCCTCCGTGTCTGACTCCTTGTCATTCTCCAAAATGCTTCCTTGACCATAGGCCACTGAATAGCCACACCAGCACGACCCACCACACTCTCTCTCTTCGCCCTGCTTCCCTTCCGAGTGCTTGTAAGTACGTCACATTTTAATATTAATGTTTAACTTGCTTACATTTTGACTTTGGGAGCCGTCTTGACTTTGTAAGGCTCAAGTTCCTCCTCTGTAAACTGGGGAGAATAATAACATCCAGCTCTTGGGATCAATAAGAGGATCTTGCACCATCGTAAGTACCCAACAGTATCTTTTAAGATAACCCACCTCTAAGCTGGACTTCATCCCACCATTCATATAAACAAGAATAACAAAATAGAATAACATTAGATAAATGAAGAGACGCAATAGCAAAATGAGTATGAATTGTGTTTTTATTAATTTTCGTCTATTGATATTTTCAATGATTCTCTAAAAAGCATTGAATTCCCTTAAAGTCTAAATATTATCCAAAATGAAAAGCTGAAAGAGTTGGAAACATTTGTCTCTGTGAAGCAAGAATTGGGAGCTGGATAGAGTCCTACTATTCTTTGTTACAACATTAATACTATTGGGCACTTTACTTTGATAGATATATAGTTGAAATTTAAGAATAAAGACTGGAAGGAAATACTGGGACCCGTTAACAAGAGCTATCTGGGGTGGGGAAGACGGAATCACCAGATGTTCTTTCTTTCTTCTTTATGTTTTCTAAGTTCCCCAAATGATCCAGAATGTATTTCAATGCATTTTTAAAAATCATATGCATGCTTTACATGTATGAACTGGGTATTAAAAGGCTAATGGAGGTTTGGTAGGATGCATTTGGAATATGCTCTAAATTTTAAAATGTAACTTCTGGGGCACCAGAGAACACCCCCCAGTCTAGTGTGGATACTTAGCAGCAGCTGCTAAGACCTTGAGACAGGCGGGGTTGGGTATCAGTGGCGGAGAAGAGGGTTGGAAACAGGGTAAAGAAGGTAAGTGGGGAGGGAGGATGCCATCCCAGCATCCTGATTGCTCACAAATCGGTCCTGAGAACAAGAGGAATCACTTTGGGAAGATTTGGAGACAGTGGGAGAGGAGGCAGGCATGGCCAGAGACAGGTAAACAAAGGATGGACATTTTCAGGGTCATCTGACATCCTGAGGATCATATTTGCATTTAATGAAAACCTCTAACCAAAGCAGATTTGCAAAGAGACCATTTATTCCACATCCGGGAAGGAAAGCAGGCACTAAAAGCAGGGGCTCCCAGCCAGGCTGCCTGGAGGAGAAGGGGTGTGTCTTAATTCACATTCCCTCTGTTAACCTTGATGATGGCCAGGAGCTCTGTAATCTCTTTTGACATGTTGTATAGAAATGTTTTGCAAATTCAGATGCTTAGAACTTTCAAATGTCAGGAGGTGAAGGATCACTCTGCCTTCCCGTTTAATAGGAGCACGCTGTCTTTTGCAGGATGGATGGTCACAATATCACTTTGTAGCCTCATCTTCAACCATCGAGAGGGATCGGCAAAGGCCCTACTCCTCCTCCCGCACACCCTCCATCTCCCCTGTGCGCGTGTCTCCCAACAACCGCTCAGGTAAGAGGCTGCCAGGGCCGTCCTTGGTTTCCCCTGAGCAAAGGCTCTCACCCCAGTCCTTCAGCTGAGATGCACCCGGAGGGGAACTGCCCCAACTTTGACTGGGAATATGAAATGCCTTTGTGTTATGTAAACACATATTCAGAGCAAATTCTCTAACAGGTTCACATGCGCAAATGCCTATCAGGAACCTGCCTTCAGAGAGGAACAAGTGTAAGGAAGACTGTCAAGACTGTACACATCAGGATTTTCCATGCGCAGTTTTTGAAACTTAGTTTGAGTTGCATTTTCTTTACTGTAATTGGGATAACAGAGTAGAGGAAACGGGATGTACTGTTTCTTTCTTTGGCATGAGATGTATTTTGAGGGTCTCATAACTATTCTGTGTCCAGTTGGCTTTTTATTATTACCTACAAATCATTGATAAATTCTTACGCCAAATTTTAACTTGGAAGTCATTCCATTTAATCTTCTAATTTTGTCACATTCCTCTTGCTTAAATTTTGAGCTTAATTTACACATTTATTTGTGAAAGTATTTTATGTTATACCACTTTTCAGTTGTTTGAAGGAATGCCAAAGATTAGATGGAAATATACAAGGTAAAATATGAACACCTTGTTTAATAACATAAGCGGCATGGGTTTATTGTTCTTTTACCCAAAGTTGAAAAGTTTTTGAAACTTTTCATTTCTGCATTTTGGTTTTGTTTGGCGAATGAAGGACGGACAGCAATTCTATGCCCTCACCAACCCAACTCTCCTGGCTTCCGCACATGACTCCGTTTCCTTACCCTCCCCAGCCCTCTCCCTGATGAAGTGATCACATTTCTGAAAGGATATTCTGGAGACATTGGCAAAAAACGCTGCCCACCAAAGTGGCCTCTCCACCCTGAGGACCATTGCAAATCCGAGGACAATTGCAAATCCTTACACTGGCCCGTCAAAATGACTGAAAATCAGAAACCAGGGGTAGCTTTAGACCGACACAAGGCACCCTCTCCAACCCATGAAAGCTTCTAGGTCCAGCCTCCCATGAGGATCAGGAACCCCTGTGACTGGGGACACTTCCACCTAAACTGCAGTGCAGAGGTGGCCTCTTTTTCTTCTTTTCCTACAATTCTGGCAGGTTTTAAGAGATAAGGAGCATGGAGCCTGGGAAACATAAGGAAAGTGTCCTTTAAAAAGTTCGGGTAGAAGTAAGGAAGATAAAGTGATGTAACAGTTCAGAAGGCCCTGATGGGAACAGCCCCCCCCCCCAGGAGCAGGCAGGGCTGGGACTCAGCCATCCACCAGTGCCTTGGTATTTCCTAGGCCAGGCACATCGAGACACCTAATAAACACTTGTTTGCATGATTTGATTTTTCCCAGAGCTTAATCCTGATTTACTGGAGACTCAAAGCACCACTGCGGATGAGGTCTCAGGAGATAATTACACACTTGACGTGGTTTAATAAACACCACCATCTGTGCAGTATTAGACTCCAATTTTAAAAGCTTTGGTTAAGAAGCTTCGAAAAATTATCCCTCCGTGATTGCATGGCAGCAGCTCCTCAGAGGGCAGCCGCTGCGTAGGAAGACCCAGAAGCAAAGCAGGAAGGAGAGAAAAGGAACTTTTCTAGAAAAAGACAGGGTGAGCAGAAGAGAGAGAAGCGGACAGAGGGTGAGGGAGGTGAGTGAGGCTCCAGCAGAGCAGGAGAGGGAGGTGAGTGAGACTCCAGCAGAGGGTGAGGGAGGTGAGGGAGACTCCAGCAGAGGGTGAGGGAGGTGAGTGAGACTTCAGCAGAGGGTGAGGGAGGTGAGTGAGGCTCCAGCAGAGGGTGAGGGAGGTGAGTGAGGCTCCAGCAGAGCAGGTGAGGGAGGTGAGTGAGACTCCAGCAGAGGGTGAGGGAGGTGAGGGAGACTCCAGCAGAGCAGGTGAGGGAGGTGAGTGAGGCTCCAGCAGAGGGTGAGGGAGGTGAGTGAGACTCCAGCAGAGGGTGAGGGAGGTGAGGGAGACTCCAGCAGAGGGTGAGGGAGGTGAGGGAGACTCCAGCAGAGGGTGAGGGAGGTGAGGGAGGCTCCAGCAGAGCAGGTGAGGGAGGTGAGTGAGACTCCAGCAGAGGGTGAGGGAGGTGAGGGAGACTCCAGCAGAGGGTGAGGGAGGTGAGTGAGACTCCAGCAGAGGGTGAGGGAGGTGAGTGAGACTCCAGCAGAGGGTGAGGGAGGTGAGTGAGACTCCAGCAGAGCAGGTGAGGGAGGTGAGTGAGACTCCAGCAGAGCAGGTGAGGGAGGTGAGTGAGACTCCAGCAGAGCAGGTGAGGGAGGTGAGTGAGACTCCAGCAGAGCAGGTGAGGGAGGTGAGTGAGACTCCAGCAGAGCAGGTGAGGGAGGTGAGTGAGACTCCAGCAGAGGGTGAGGGAGGTGAGTGAGACTCCAGCAGAGCAGGTGAGGGAGGTGAGTGAGACTCCAGCAGAGGGTGAGGGAGGTGAGTGAGACTCCAGCAGAGGGTGAGGGAGGTGAGGGAGGCTCCAGCAGAGGGTGAGGGAGGTGAGTGAGGCTTCAGCAGAGGGTGAGGGAGGTGAGTGAGACTCCAGCAGAGGGTGAGGGAGGTGAGTGAGACTCCAGTAGAGCAGGTGAGGGAGGTGAGTGAGACTCCAGCAGAGGGTGAGGGAGGTGAGTGAGACTCCAGCAGAGCAGGTGAGGGAGGTGAGTGAGGCTCCAGCAGAGGGTGAGGGAGGTGAGTGAGACTCCAGCAGAGGGTGAGGGAGTTGAGTGAGACTCCAGCAGAGGGTGAGGGAGGTGAGTGAGACTCCAGCAGAGGGTGAGGGAGGTGAGTGAGACTCCAGCAGAGGGTGAGGGAGGTGAGGGAGGCTCCAGCAGAGCAGGTGAGGGAGGTGAGTGAGGCTCCAGCAGAGGGTGAGGGAGGTGAGTGAGACTCCAGTAGAGCAGGTGAGGGAGTTGAGTGAGACTCCAGCAGAGGGTGAGGGAGGTGAGGGAGGCTCCAGCAGAGGGTGAGGGAGGTGAGTGAGACTCCAGTAGAGCAGGTGAGGGAGGTGAGTGAGACTCCAGCAGAGGGTGAGGGAGGTGAGTGAGACTCCAGCAGAGCAGGTGAGGGAGGTGAGTGAGGCTCCAGCAGAGGGTGAGGGAGGTGAGTGAGACTCCAGCAGAGGGTGAGGGAGGTGAGGGAGACTCCAACAGAGGGTGAGGGAGGTGAGTGAGGCTCCAGCAGAGGGTGAGGGAGGTGAGGGAGGCTCCAGCAGAGGGTGAGGGACGTGAGTGAGGCTTCAGCAGAGGGTGAGGGAGGTGAGTGAGACTCCAGCAGAGGGTGAGGGAGGTGAGTGAGACTCCAGCAGAGGGTGAGGGAGGTGAGGGAGGCTCCAGCAGAGGGTGAGGGAGTTGAGTGAGACTCCAGCAGAGCAGGTGAGGGAGGTGAGTGAGACTCCAGCAGAGGGTGAGGGAGGTGAGGGAGACTCCAGCAGAGGGTGAGGGAGGTGAGGGAGGCTCCAGCAGAGGGTGAGGGAGGTGAGGGAGACTCCAGCAGAGGGTGAGGGAGGTGAGTGAGGCTCCAGCAGAGGGTGAGGGAGGTGAGTGAGGCTCCAGCAGAGGGTGAGGGAGGTGAGTGAGGCTTCAGCAGAGGGTGAGGGAGGTGAGGGAGTCTCCAGCAGAGAGTGAGGGAGGTGAGTGAGACTCCAGTAGAGCAGGTGAGGGAGTTGAGTGAGACTCCAGCAGAGGGTGAGGGAGGTGAGTGAGGCTTCAGCAGAGCAGCTGACGTTCTGAAACAGCAGCAAATGGACAAAGCCCAGCTGATCTAGGGGCTCTCGGGGACTTCATTGTTCTTGCAGAGGTCCCCCTTTAGCTTCAGAACCCCAAGTATTAATACGATGCAGCGTCCTGTTACAGAGCTGTGGCCTTCTGGGAAACTGAGGCAGCACAGAGACCCCCTTCAAACCCCGATTCTTGTGATCATGTCAGAAAGATGTCAGACCTGTCGCTCAGAGTAACAGGAATGAGTTGATTGAGGGGATAGGAAAAGCGAAAGGGGACACTCTCAAGGGAAAGAGTGGGTCCTCAGAGAGGAGCAGGACCACGTGCCTGTCCTGCACTCCAGTTTTACTGGGGATCCAGAGTAGTTTCCAGAGAGTCCACCCAGATCCACCTCTTCACTTCTGACTGACAGCACGCTGACATCAGACTTTCAAGTCCGCACTGTCATGGCAACTGTAGTCACCTTGGCCCAGGATGACCCGTTCTGATTTCTTACAGATTTTTTGGTTAGGAGGAACCATCCTTGTCTCCCAGAGTTTCAGGATCTGGTCACAAAAGTTTCCTGGGTTCCTCCATCAGCATTATCTCAGGCCTGCGTTTCTCCTGCAGTTAACAGGTAGTTTGCTGAGGAAAGTGACATGTCCTGTCCACTGAGGCCAGGCAGGGCTGCAGGTAAATTGCTTATTGGAAAAGAAAGCAGGTAGGGATCAGCTCAGTGGGCCCATTTTATGAAATTATTCTCTTAACCTCATGTTCCCTCCATGAGGAAGCCACCATGTCTGTCCCCTAACAGACCCAGGGTCACTTGCCCCCAGGTGTCCCAGGTGGAGCAGAGATGACCTGGATTTTGCTTTCATCAGTTTTTGAGAAGGTCAAGGGCTCTTCAGGGAGGGAACTCTTCCTTTCCCTTCCCAGCATTTGGCTGTGACTTCTCTAAAGTACTTGTGCCTCTTGTTCTGGCGTTAAGCACCCCCTTCCTCCCTGGCTGAGAGCTCCCCAGATCAGGGAGCTCTGTGGCTCACAGCTCCACCTCTCAGGGGCTCAGCAGGGATCTGTACACAGAAGATAAATAGTCTGACCAACAGGATTCAGTGATTCAGTGAAAAGAGAGGTGCATTCGGGGGCAAGCAGCCCGTGCGCTGGGGCTGAGGGACCCTGCACAGTGTGAACAACGTGCAAAAGGTAAACAGGTTGGCTGAGAAGGGGCTTGGACGCTGGCAAAGAAGACTTGGTACCTGCCATCAGAGTTCCCAGGGAGTCCTAGCCTTAACCGTCCCCAGGCATGGATTCTGAGGCCCCTTCACTGCAAATTCAAACAAGCAAGGCCCAGGATCAGGTGGTGGAATCCCTAAATTCTCAGGTGTTTGGGTTAAGGAAGATGGTGGAGCACTGCATTAGGGTACAGAAGAACTGCATGCAACACCGATGGCCCCCAGGGGGGAGCAGGACTGTCCCCAACAGAACACCCTGCTGCTCCCCTTCCCTCCTCCTCTCTGTACTTACTGGCTGGGCTACGGGGTTGCTACCAACCATTCCAGCTCCCAGAAAAAAAAAAATAGACCTTTTGGATTCACTTCTTTGCCTCCAAGTTCAACTTTTCCTCTGCTTTTGGTAGCGGCTCACTCCCCGGGTCCAACAGGGAATGAGTGGCTGGAGGGTTAGGTGTGTGAGGGACTGTTGCGATGATCACCCAAGGAGTGCGGCAGGGACACCCTATCAGGAACAGAAGCTCTCAGCCCTGCCCCTGGGCCACCTGGAGAGAAGCTTGGTGGGCTTGGTGATTTCAGCCCCACAAATCATCCCACGTGGATGGTCGTTTCTTCTGCCTTCCTTGAGAGCAGTTTCTGATGGCGTTGACAACCCAACCTTTAAATCAAACTGCGTTGTTTTTAAACATGGATTCTTCATTATCAGTACAGGTTGAATATCTTTTGTTCAAAATGCTTGGGACCAGAGTATTTCATATTTCTAGATACACACACACACACACACACAGTGGTATATACCCAGAAATATGAAATACTCTGGCCCCGGCCCCAAGACAGATAGACAGATAGATAAATATGGTATATCTTGGAGGTAGGACTCCAGTCCAAACATGAAATTTATTTATGTTTTATATATACTTTACACATAGAGCCTGAAGGTGATTTTATGTAATATTTTGAATAATCATCTGTTCTGACTGCAACCTATCACTTGAGATCAGGTATGGAGTATATCACCTTTGGTATAATGTCAACACTGAAAAAGTGTTTGATTTTGGAGCATTTCAGATTTTTGAATTTTGGGGTTAAGGAGGCTGAAGCAAAAAAAGGGGAGGGGAGGAGAAATGGAGAGAGGGAGACAGGGAGGAGGGGAAAGGGAAAGAGAAAGAAAGCAAGACTGGTCTTCATTCTTAAAACTGCCATGTACACCTCGGGCAGGTCCTGTCTCTACCAGGGAAGATGGTCCCAGAATGTAATTTTTAAACACCTGCCTCTAAGCCACACCTCGCACGAGTTGTCACAGAGTAAGACAAAGTGATAAATTCAAGAGCAAAAATCACCAAAAACTCTCAAGAGGCCACGCAGAGATATCGGGCCCAGGTGGAGCCGTGTCTTTGTGGCCTTAATTGCTCATGTGAAAAGGCAGACATGGTTTGGAATGAGCTGCAAAAAGACCATCTTTCTCATTTCTTCATCTAGCAAGTGCCCCAGCTTCACCTCGGGAAATGATCAGCCTCAAGGAAAGGAAGACGGACTACGAGTCCACCAGCAGCAACGCCACCTACCACGGAACTAAAGGCGAGCACACTTCCAGGAAAGACACCATGACAGGTGAGTGCCCCTCGGACCTCCTCCTCAGAGCCGGTGACTGAGGGACAGGGAGGGGCTGCAACCTCGGCCGCACACCAGGCTTTGCCGCTCAGGAAGACTAAGTGGCTGTTGGGTCACTTGAGATCTTGAAAGCCGTGATTCCCAGAAATGGGAACTGAGGAGATTAACCAAAGATATAAAAACTGCGCATCTTAGAGCTGGGAAGCACTAAGAGAAAATGTCCTCTGCACACTTTTAATCTCACTATTTCCTTCTCACCTTACCAGCTTCTCATGTCCCCTCCAATTAGAAGGGAGAGTCAACATCTGTTTCTTCTTTGTTGCAGGACCCCTGGTGGGAGAGATTCCAAGATGCTGGTTGCTCTATAGCTCTACCTTGCCCGTTAGGAAAGGAGGGGAGGGAAGAAGCACGGAACAGAGGGCTGGGGAGACTTAAGTGGATCCCCCAGAACTCTTGTGAGGCATTGCTTCCTCTTGTCATGAGGCCTGCCTCTTACCACGGCGGATTGCCAGGAGGTTTTATTAGAGCCCACTCCTTGATATACCCTAAGGACTTAAAATCAGTATACTGCACTGACACAGCCACATTAATGTTTATAGCAGCTCAACTCACAGTAGCTAGGCTATGGAACCAACCTGGGTGTCCTTCAACAGATGATGGGTAAAGACACTGTGGTATATATACACAATGGAGTATTACTCAGCCTTCTCCAGGGTTTCCATAAATCTCCTTTCCACTGGTCCTCCTTTAAGAAGCAGGATACCGAATATTATTAGAGAGGGGTTTATACTTGAAAAGCAGAACTTTCAGAGCTGTAAGACTCTAACAGGGGACCCACATGCTTCTTTTCCACACAGACATAGAGATGGGTCCCTTTGAAAATCAGTCGTGAGCAACAGGGCTTTCAGAGAGCATGGTTATATTAGATCATTCATAAAACTGGATGCAGAGGATGCAATTCTAAACAGACACTGAGACCCTGTTATCAGAGAAATCTTGAAAGCATGGGGCACATTTCTCTGATATTATTTACATGCAGACCTGCAGGGAAGCAGAATAGACAAATTGGATGATTTATTAAAATGTCCTCTAAACCCAGGACAGCTAAGATGAATTTTCCTAATAGAAAATGTATTTACCCCAGTGGCTGTCTTTTCCACATTAACTCTGTACAGCTGCATAAAGAAAAGCATAATAAACAGATGCTTTTCATCCCCACTCGGAGGTCCACGTTCTGCCTCCTCGAGCAGACCCTCCCAGGGAATACGCCCTGTTTACTCCTGAAATGTCCTTTGGGTGGGATAACCGAGCTCATTACAAGGCCATACTTATTAGTCTCCTCCTCTGTTTTTCCCCATAAATGTTGCCCCTCATCATAAACGAACATGAACAAAGAAAGCCATGAATCTGAATGTTGAGTCCCTGGAGTAGAGATGTTCATTGGGAATGCAAGTCATGCCAATCACTTTGCATTAGTAGTGGCACCTAGTTCACCTGACCCATTCAGTTTGCAATGATTATTGCACCAGGTGGCCACATCGCCAGAAGTCTGGGACAACAAATTCAGATGATGGTTCTAAGAATAATTGTGAGATTGATTGTAGTATTATCATTTAAGTTTAGTGTTGCTTTTTAACTCTCCGGCCCAGTAGAATCACTCAGAAGGCTTTTAAAGGTGGATGTGTTCACACTGAAATAGTCCAATGGTGTATGATGGTGCCCTGCCCACCTAATAAGATAAAACATAAAATCTGGTGTTTCCCACATTCAGCCTTCCTAGGAAACGGCGGGGGTCTGGACAACTCTGGTATTGAGTTTTATACACGTAAATCTTCAAACTTACTTAAAGGCTTAAACAGCCTTGCTCTAACTTACTTAAAAATGTGATTCAAAGCTACACGAACAATCACATAGCAAGCCCATAACACTAAGATCTTTATTGAATGTGTGTAGACAGGGGAAGCTTCTTGAAGCCAATAAGTGCGAGGTGAAATCTAGTTGTTGGCATCACAAAAATGCTGGTGGTGGTGACTAAGAGAGCATGGTTATATTAGATCATTCGTAAAACTGGATGCAGAGGATGCAATTCTAAACAGACACTGAGAAGGGGAGGGTGGTGGGGGTCGGCGGGGGGGTGGTTTGGTGATGAGGTGAGGATGGGTAATGAGGGTGGTGGAGGGGATGGTGTTGGCAAGGCTTGTTTGGGTGCAGGTGGTGGAGATATTAGTGGAGATGATGGTTTTGGTGGGAGGCAGTCTGTGGTGTTGGTAGTAAGGCTGCTGCTGGTGTTTATCCTGTTATATAGAGGAGTGAATAAGTCCTCAGCCCAGCCAGGTGGGAGCCAGTGTTCCAGACAGGAATAGAAGGGTTGACCTGCTAACCTCTTCTCCGGAGCCCTTTGGCCAATGCCTATAATTCAAGTATTTACCTATGAAATCTGAATTTTTGTGTGCGACCTCCACACCAAAAGCAGTATTTTCTTTTTCTCATTCAAGAATAAACCCAAGGGTACTGGGGATGTAGCTCCGTGGTTGAGCACTTGCCTAGATGTGCAGTGCCCTGGGTTCAATTCCCAGGTCCACACACACCCCCACCCAAAAAAATTGTAATTTAAAAATTGATAACAAAAAAAGAATAAATGCAAGGGACATGTAATTTTCAGTGCAGGGGCATCCTGCCGTTCCCCACCTGGGACCAAGCTCTGGGTTCAGGAAAGACGCCCGTGGGGAGGGAGGGTCAGCAGCTCCTTGGCCCAGCTGTCAGCTCCCTCCTGAGCTCTCAGAAATCCAGGCCTCTGGGCTTTGTTCCAGACTCCCCCACCCCTTTCTGGGTTCATTTTCTCACTGAGATGAAGTTCCTTCAAGTATCTTCTATCCACAGGGTTCCTCTGCCACTGAGGAGCCCAGGACCCTTCTCAGCTGTTCACTGAGGCAAGCAGGACTCTGCTTCTCGCAGTCACGGCCGCTGGAGAGCCACCTCTGGTGTGGGCGCTCACCGCAGGGCAGGACTTTGAAGTGGATCCGGGGATTCTGCCCTCCCATCTGAGCATCCCAAATGCCGCTTCATCAGATGGTCTGGGCTGATTCTCCCTGGTTCTCACTTACGTCTTTTAAAGCCTCTCATCTTCCATATGTTGATTCCGTCGGAAGCTGGGTGTTTGGGAGATGATACAAAAAAAAAAAGGCGTTTATTTAAGTCAGTTTTGCATTGCTCTGACCAAAGACCTGGCAAGAACGATGCAGAGGAGGAAAAATTTATTTTGTCTCCATTTCAGAGGTTCGGTCTGTGGTTGGCCGACTCGATGGCTCTGGACCTACAGTGAGGCAGGACATGGAGGCGGAAGGTGTGGCTGAGAAAGCAGCTGAGGATATGGCTGTGAGGAAGCAGAGAGAGAGAGACAGACAGACAGACAGACAGCTCTGCTCACCAGGGACAAAATAGGAACCCCAAAGCCTGCCCCAGGGACTCATCTCCTCCAGCCCCCCATACCTCCTAGTCCCTTCCCAGTTAATCCCTGTGAAGGGGGTTCATGTGTGATTAGGCTCAGGCTCTCATTACCCAGCATTTTACCTCTGAACGTCCTTGCACGGGTGCAGGTGGTGGAGATGAGCTTCTGGGGCCACTTCCTGTGTGAACTAGACCCGCACGTCCCTGTGAGTCCACTCAGTTCAGACATACCAGGGCAGAGCTCCTGGAGACCTCTGCTTCCTGAGGGCCTTTCAGCCACACAGTCCCATCTCAACAGGGGAGGGGCCAAGAGTGGAGCAGAACTTCCAGGAGGGATAGCTTTCACTCAGAAACCACAAATCTAATAGGAAGGGAGGCTGAGGCTCGACCAGTACAGATGCTTTGTCCTCCCCTCTGCCCCCTCCCAGGCGTCTTATTTGAAGCAACAGAAAGAACTCAGTGTCAGTTTGGAGGGACGTTTTCTGTCGGGAATCAGAGCTCTGATGGCGCTGTCCCGCGGTTTGTGCCTCCCTTCATCCATTCAGCAGACTGAGCACTTACTCTGGGAGTGTCCACTGAGGCCACACGCTGTGCCAGGCTCTGGGGGCATGGACAATGGTGAGAACACCTACTGTCTCTATCCCCGTGGGCTTCTGCGCTGGTGGGCACAGGCAGGCAATGTGCAGGGTCATCAGGGGACAGTCACCAGCAGGATCACTGCAGGATGTTGAGAGGCATGAAAGGTCTCCCTCACTGGAGCACTGAGACAGGGGACGCCAGGTGGTCCTTACCTGCCCCAGGCAACAAGCTGACACCTAAATAGCAAGAGGCAGCTGGAGTCTGGGGGAGGTAATTCCTAGAGGAAGATGGAGTACCGTCTCCCCGAAGCTGAACAAGCTGGGCTCCCTCGACTGAGAGAGGAGGCCCGGGCAGCCAGGGCCGCGTTACTAGAGAAGGGAGAGATGCCGCGGGAGGTCAGGTGGGGAAGATCATGCGGAACCTCGTGGACCAGGAAGGAGAGCATCTCGAGTGGAGAGCACTGGGGTATGGATAAGCAGAGGGAGTGACGTAATCAATCTGCCTAACAGAGGTCTCCCTGGGGGCTGGGAGGAGCAGACTGGGGGACAGGAAGCTGGGCCATCAGGGGATTTAGTGTCCAGGGAGACAGGAGTGATGTGCATTCACCCAGAGAGGACAGCAGAGTTGTCTTTGAAATTGAAGTTGTGCTCTCACCCTCGCTTCCTAAGCAGACTTTTCCAAGAGGAGGTTACTGCACAGTTACCGTGTGCCTGTAGGTAACCATCGCCGGTGACAATGAACTTGAACCTGGATAGGCTGTGCAGGGCTGGGCCTAGAGCAGCCTGGTCTCTGAGAGAGCAGGTGCCGTGGGATGGATTTCATTATCCCTTGGACCCTGGAAACAAAGGCCAAGCCCTTCTTATTTCCAGAGTATTCTGTGTCCCACTGACACTTGACAGACGGACTTGGTTGAGCTTTCTTCAACCGTGATCTTTCATCAGCTGTACCGATGGTAGTGCCTGTGGCATGCGCCTCAGGGTTCTGGGTAAGGAGGAGGCACCGTCACCCACTCTCGGCCTGTGGAAGCTGCTGGCAGCTGGAGGGGGTCTTCCTCCTTCCTTTTGGCCACACCACAAGTGGGTGAGAAGTCAGGGGGGACCCTATCTCTGCACCTAGCAGGATTCAAAGCCACAGCCCCTCAGATGCACAGGGGACATTCAGGTGGCACCGTCAATTGGTCCTTTGGGCTGTGGAGAAATGAACTGTCTGGATGATGACAGAGCACTTCTGTGAGCTCAAATTAGAAATGTTATTCTTGTCATTCTTCAGCTAAAAACTAAGCTGCTGATACAGACTGCATGCTCCAGTGCAAGTGACGAGCCTCTATTAAAGACCTGTTCTCACCAGAAAAGAAGGCAATAAAGCTCGCGAGGTGGCCATGTGTCTGCTGCACCTGCGCTGACCCTGTCTGTGCGGTGAGCAGTGTTGCCAGCGGCCGATGGGCCCGGGGAGTTGACAGCACCACGGCTCTCTTTCTGCATCGCCCCATGTAAAATGAGGTCCAGGCTCAAAGAATCTCTCCTACTTGGAACAGTTCGCGGGACGCCCGGCTCTGTCAGGGTGAAACCGGCCTCAAGAGCCATCATTCCTGGCTTGAAATCCTGCTTTCTTTTCTAACACTTTTGTTTTCCTTTTGTTTGTAGCTCAGAACACCGGGATTTCCACCTTGTATAGGAATTCATACGGTGCGCCCGCCGAGGACATCAAACACAACCAGGTGAGTAAAGGCAGCACCTTTCTGTGCGTTTTTTCCATTTGACTCATGGGAAGTCACCTGGGATTTTTAAGACTTTAACTTTCACCTCACATCATCAGCAACCAGGAGAGATGTCCCCTGATGTCCTCTCTCACACCTGCCACCGCATACAGGTGGGTGGCCAGCGGCAGTGCTCAGAACAGCCTCAGATCCTAAAACTACTTGGGATTTCATGGGAGCTGCTTCCTGACCTGCTGGGCAAAGCAAGTTCTCTACAGTGGTGCTGCTGGGTTTGGATGTGGTTTGTCCCCAAGGGTCCATGTGTAGGAGGCTGGGTCCTCTGGATGGTGGCATTGAGGTGGTGGGGCCTTAAGAGGTGGAGCTTAATGGAAGGTCATTGAGACCCTCAGAAGTGATTAAGGTGGTTCCCATGGGATCTGAAGTTAGTTCTCTCAAGAGCAAGTTGTTTTAAACCAAGCCCTCTCCTCCTTGAGCTTCCTGTTTCTTCATGTGATCCCTCTCACACATGTTCTCCAATCATTGTCATACCATTCACCATGTGGTCCTCACCAGAGCCAGGCCAGTACCAACAATATGCCCCTGAGCCTCCAGAACTGTGAGATAAATAAACCTCTTTTCTTTATAACATTATCCAGCTTCAGGTGTTTCATTACAGTAACAGACACCAGACTAATATAGGTATGAAGCTAAAAGAAAGTCCCCAGTAGATAAGTGTAAGGTGTCATTTGCTAAACAGAAACTGCCTAATTTCTGGGCAGGAATTGAATAGCTCCTGTAACAGAGCCAACTCTAATTAGGAAGAAAACATTCATTACACATGCTAGTTACCAATAACACAGAAACATCAAGTTCAATCTAAACAACCAAATAGAAAGCACTGAACATTCCTTGCTGAGCAAAGTCTAGTTGAGGAACAGCATAATCTGCATCACCTGGGAGCTCATTACAAGTGCAGAACAGGGTCTTCTCTGGTGCCTTAACCCATTCCAGCTCTTCTGCAGGAGAGCTGCATTCTAATAAGATGCCCCAGTGATTTGTGTGAACATTCCTTGTTTTAGGAGCTCTGAAATATAGACCCTGAACTAATATGAATCTGTAGGTGTTTGTTTTTTTCAGCAAACATTCATTGAAACATTCATTTTTTCTGGGGTTCTGCAGGAACTATGAAAGCAAAGGGGCAAAGCTTGTGCCTCGTATTTGATTGACAACCTCTCTCTCCCTCCCTTGGTGGGCATCACAGCAAGACCGACCCCTCATAGCTGGTTGCTCTTAAGAACTGTCAACAGGAACCATTTCTGCTCATGTCTTATTTCCTGCCACACTTCGGGAAAGTTAAGAAGATAAACCTGAAAGCCATGTACCAGTAACCAGATAAAGGAAGTATGGAAGGGAACTGTGTAGGTTTGGAACAGTATCCCAGCACCCTGCAGGGTAGCATCTACCCCTTCAAGCAGGTGCAGATGTCCTGAGCAGAACCATTTGGGTGGGAGAGAAGGACACCAGGCTGTCTCCTTGACCTTAAGTCATTTTTTCCTCTAATCAGACATCAGCAGGAGATATGACCATCAGCAGAGGAGTTAGCCTCTCACCCTCAATTTTCCATCCAACTGCAATCATTCTGGAAGACATCTGGTGTTGTGCGTGACCCCCTGGTGAATGCAATGGCCCTGCTTCCTCCTGACACATTGCTAACAGCTAATCGGCCTCCCTTAAGTTCTGGTCTTTACTAAAAGCAAAGAAGCCAACAAATAAATAAATCGGGTCATGAGCACTAGACAAGGTCACCAGCGTGGCTCACAATTGCACACATGCCAACGTACCTGCCTGAGCATAAAGGAAAACAGAAACAAAATGTATTGGGAATGCCGCTTCCTTCTATGGAAAGCAACCACTTTTCTTATAGCAAATACTGCAAAATTCTGTCAGTGCAGTGAGCAGACTGTCTGTAGCTCTTAGGGAGACCTGTCGGGAGGCACTAGGACACTGATTTTGCATTCAAGAGTGTAAGATTAGTCTTTAGTTCCCAGGGTACAGAGAAGCTCGTCAGCAGAATCAGTGAATTCCACACCAGCCTTCCATGGAATCCTGCACTCTTGGCAATGAAAAAGCACCCTGGTGTGGCCCAGGAGTCCTGGGTGCCTCAGGATGTGGCTACAGAGGGTTCCAAAGACTGCCTGCTATCTAGACGTAGAGACAAGCCATAACTGTCCTAAGGGACACATTCTTAAGAATATTCTGGGCCCTTATGCCAATTAGAATTGATGGACTAAGATGGCGTCCTGCAGTGGAGGGAGCCAGTCCTGTGTAGCCTCTCCCCAGCACTGCCCAGACGTCCATCTCAGAGTGAAGCCTGCAGGCCACAGAGGTTCTGGTGAATGCTGCTGAACCCTCTGCCCGCACCCGGGAGGAACATGAGCACCACAGCTCCCGACCACATGGGGAGCCCTCCCAGAGCTGAGTCCTGTGGTCATGGCTCCGTGCCCTCGTTGTTCCTGAGCAGGGCAGCAAAGGGAGGGGGCAGTTGGGCTGTCCGTCAAATTCTAATGCGAAGCAGCATTTTAAAAATATCCACCAGAGAGCTCTTTCCCCCTAAAAATCATTATCACACTCCAATGAGCCTGGAAAACAGAAGAAAATGCCGTACTTACGGGGACTCCGTTACCGGAGTGAATCTGTCTTTATGTGGAGCTTCTCTTGAGGGCTCCAGTCGGGTGGTTCCAGAGATGCCCTTATAGACAGGATCCATGATTTGGATCCTCATGTGGGTAGGGCCAGCCATTGCCAAGTGGAAGGCCTTCATTTTAGGAGCTTTCCTGGACAGAGTGACCTCTCCACTTTTCGCCTGAACAGTTCGACTGGGAGGAATGTTCTGGAGTTTGTTGAGGGTTAGCTTCCCTCGGCTGAGCCCTCTAAACTTCTGTGTCTCAGCCACCAGTGGGGCCTCGGGACCCTCACAGAGGAGGCTGGAAGTAGCCAGCCTTCTAGAGGAGATGAGTTCCTGTGGACCTCCAGGAGGAGGCCAAGGACGCTGAGGGCTGAGAACAGGACAGCAGCTCTGGAGGCATGGCCAAGTCTGATGGGGGACAGGGCATCCCCTGTGACCCAGGCTTCCCATGACCCGGGGGGGGAGGAGCCAGCTCTGCTCTGCCCTGTGACTACCTGGAACCCCATTTACATATCAACAAATTCAGAGCTTAAGGACTCCTAGAAGAAACAACTAATCCTGTAGAATAAAGTAGGTGGCCCCGGGGTTTTACGTCTGGGGTCAGTGGGTCACAGGCACCATTGTAAGAGTTAACCACTTTTATTCTCTAAAGTCCTGATGAGTTTCTACCAGTCTATCCCATGCTTATAAAGAGAAGTGCCTTATTTAACTTTATGTATGTGGCCAGCAATGGGCCTTTTGTTGTAAACTAGAAGCAAAGGGATTTGTGTTTTGCTTATAACAAAACCAGCATCTTGAGTTAGTTTGTGTGTGTGTGTGTGTGTGTGTGTGTCCTCAGTCCCACTGTCAGGTATTAGTGCCCCTGGAGATGAGGAAATTGAGATTTAAGGAGGATAAGTTTTGACTTCAGTCACTCAGCTAGGAAAAGGCAAAGACTCAACCTGGTTTTTCTGCCTCGTTCCGTTTTTCCCTCTTCTATGCCAATTTGGTTCTCAAATTTGGGCATGAGTCAGAATTCCCCTAAGGGATATTAAAGCTGATTGCTGAGCCCCAAGCCCAGAGTTTCTAATTTAATAGGTTTGGAGTAGGCCTGATAATTTGCCCTTTGAACAAGCTCCCAGGGAGTGATGCTGATGCTGCTGGAACCACACTTTGCAAACCACTGAGATTACCATGTGGCCTCCTTTGTTAACACTCTGACTCCTCGTATTTGCCAGTATGGAAAAGTTTGAAGACCTTTTATGGGCAGATATTTCCCTTGTGTTCAAAATAAATCCAGTTTGCTGGCTGTATGAGTCTGTTTTCTGTAGTTATAACAAAATACCTGAGTCTGAGTCGTGTATAAAGAAAAGAGGTTTATTTAAATCCCAGTTTGGGAAGTTGAAAGTCCAAGAGCAGGAGGTCCCATCTGTTCTAGCCTCTGGTGAGATCCCCTTGGTTGCATTACAACCTGGCAGAGAAGCAGAAAGGGAAAATGACTGCATCCAAATGAGGCCCAGCCCATGGGGTGGCTTCACTTTATAAAGCCCCATTCTCAACCACACAAATTTAGTCTGGAAGACCAGCATTAATCTCCTCCAAGGTGGCGCCTCCAAGACCCACTTGTCTCCCACTAGGCCCCACTTCTTGAGGTTCCACCAACTCAACAATACCCCACTGATGACCGAGCTTCCAGCACATGACCCTTGGTGGGACAGAGCACATCCAAAACAGAACACTGGACAATGTGACGAGGAGCAACCACAAAGAAGTCTTTTGTGTTCTAGTGCTAGCAGAGTTGGGAGGGCTTTTGGAACCAAGCTCCATAATTTGTATTAGACATTCTACTAGGTGAGGGGAAAGTGGAGCGAAGATGGCCTTACAAAAACAGGAGTCACAGCACAAGCACAAAGAGCATGGGCCCCCCCCCCCCAGCCCCATGTGAGCTGGCCACACCTCCCCTTCCTGGAGAGGATGCTGCCTGAGGGCAAGCCAGCCACAGAGTCAGATCCTTGGGTGATCCAGGCTTCTCTGCACCACAGCAGACACCCAGATTTAGAAATCCCCACCATTACATAGGGTGGTTTTCCTTCCTTCATAGAATCCGGTTTATGCAAACTGCACGATATTTTTAATGCATGTATTTTTAGCTCTTTTCTGGGGTGGGCTTATATTTGAGAGCATTTCATCTGCCAAATTTTTAACACATTCAGATATTTATTTCCTTAGGGAAAATTGTAAAATTCAGCCAACATTTCTCCACTATGATGTGTTTCATCAGCCAACATTCCTACCACCAGGCCAGGGAGCAATTCAGTCCCTCCAAACGCAGCAGTGCCACCCGCCACCCATCCTAAGTAGTTTGTTGACCTGTGCACTCAGCACAGCCTTAGAAGGGGTTGATGTGAGACTTTATGAACAGTACAGGTGAACTGAAGCAGGTAAGTGCTTCAGATAACATGTGGACGTCCTGAGCACTTCTGTGACGAAGCTCACTGCTTCTCCCACCTGTAAGTTATACCCAATTCTAAAATGTGCCCCAACCAGAGAACATGACAACAGTATAAAATACACACACACACATATGTATATATATATGTGTGTGTATGTGTGTGTGGGGGGTGTGTATATATATATCTGAAACACATTCACCTGGAAATGACTAAGCAGCAGATGCAGCCTCATTAGTGACTTCCCCTGAGGTCCCCTCTGTCTCCAGCAGTGCCCTTGGGAGGCCATGACCAGCACAAGACACACCTCTCCTTGGCCTTTGTCCACGGACCTCCTTGCTTATCACAGGGTCTGGAGTCAGCTCAGTGAGGACATCCCTCCAAGGTTTGGCCACCATGACTTTGTGGAAACCCTACTGGCACAAAGAGAGCATAGGCCCTAGAGTGAGCCAGGCATATGTTCAAATTCCAGCTCTGCAGCCTCACTCACCATGGTGTCTTAGAGAAGCTGCTTAATGGCTCTGAACTGCAGTTTCTTCTCCTATAGTTAGAGATGGATGGATGGATGGATGGGTGGATGGATGGGTGGATAGATGGATGGATGATATCAATATAGGTAGACATATACATATACTTATACATTTATTGCCCTTTGAAGAGTAAACAAAACAGAACTTGTTAAATGTGGAAGATGGTACCTACTGAATAGAAACAGTAATTCTGGTGTCCTTCTGTGTGAGTTTTCTAACCTCCCACCTGTAAGCCTGCTGTGCTCTGTTCTCGGACAGCTGCACCCAAGTGGGGTGGAGAAGGTCCACAGAGACACAGCTCTTGGTGGAGTAGCCCAGGTCACCTGCGCCTAAGCACACAGTCTGTGTGGTCAGAGCAGGTGTTGTAGATTAATTCCAAATGTCCCTCTCCTCTTCAGGCTCTTGGGCTAACAATGGTTTGAGCTCTATAGACTTTTGGACTTTCTCATGCATTCCGCCACCACTAACTAGACATGTGGACGTTCTGAGCACTTCTGTGAGGAAGCTCACTGCTTCTTAGAAGAGCAGGTCGATTACTAACATAAATCAATTACATATAAAAGAGGGAGTTTCACTTCCTTGAGAGAAGAAATATGTGCGGGCCATTAGAGACATTCACTCATACACAACGTGCTAATTGCAAATCATTATTTACTGAGACCAATTTCTAGAGGGTGTTTCCATGCTGAACCTTAGTTAAATTAATAGGAAATTACCGAATGCTGGAAAGTGATCTAACTGTATTTTTAGGAGTGTTTTAATTGAAACCAGACCTCCTCCCCCGTGACTGCAATAGCAGAGCTGGTGCGTCCCTGCATTATGCACTAGCTGTGAGGGTCTCCCTTACCCCACACCTTGAGAGGTTCTGCTCACCTTGGGGGCAGGTACTCGGAGAGGAACCCCAGAGCCAGTCAGAAGGGAAAGGCTAGTTCTGTCCCCAGGTAGTAAATATATTATCAGCCCATGAACACAACTGGGTCTCACTCTCCCTAAAGCCAAGCAGAGGAACTGACTCTTGACTTTCATGTATCTCCTAGGCTCCTGTAATCCCTGAATGTTCCTAGGCCATACATCAAACAGTAATGTGCAGAGGGCAAAGCCTAGGGCGGTATTGAGGTAGCCCAGGGGAAACCAGACAATTCTGAAGACCCCTCCCTGCTAATCAAAGTCTTCATCACACAGCATACTTGAGACCACCAGTTCTTGATAGCACCAAGTTAGGGAACATTTTGTCCCTCAGAGTGCAGAGTATTTGGGGTGTGCATCCAAGGCTGTGGTCCCTGGCCACTTAGGAAGGTGTGAAGGAGTGGCCCAACCACAGGGAAGCCTCAGTCCCCTGTGTGCACACAGGAATCAGAAGCATGTTGATGATGGTCCTCTACACTGGAGGGAAGGTCCCTGGGTGGCCATTAGACCTTGTGCATCCTCACGTCTCCTGGAGATTGCAGTACCTGAGTGTGATACCAGAAAATGCAGAAAAGATGAAAGTCAAGTCCATGTGTTCTCTAGCTCTGGTCTACACCACTTTAATTTTAAAAGGTTAGCTAGTAAAATGGTGTGGCCACTGTGGCAGACAGTGTGATGCCCCCTTGAAACAATTACCCTTTGGCCCACTGCCGGGTACTGACCCAGGAGAACCAGAAGCAGGGACCCATAGACCCTGGTGCACCCTGATCCTTGCAGCCTAACTCCCAAGAGCCAGAAGGTGGGAAGAGCTCCAGTGTCCATGGATGGAGGAAAGATGAGCCAAACATGGGTTGTCCCTATAAGGGAATCTCTTTCAACATGCAAAGCAGGGACATCCTGGCACACGTTACATCATGAATGAACCATGAACACATTATGCTGCGTGAACAGGCTGGACACAACAACTGATCCTGAACAACTCCATTGACTGGAGCGCTAGAGCATGGAATTCAGAGAGAGAGTAGAATGTGGGTGCCAGGGGTGGGGGAGGAGGTGGGTTGTGCTTAGTGAGTGCCAGCGAGCCTGTGTGGGGTGGGGAGGAAGTTGTGGGAGGGGATGGGGGGGTGGCTGCACAACACCAGGAATGTGCGTAGCCCCTGAGCCGGTCACTCCAGCCTGTTCACAAGGGCCAGTTTTATGTTATGACAACTTTGCCACAATAATAATGAGAGAGAGGGGAATACGCAGAAGGATAACATGTGGACCCAAGAACCCGTTTTGAAACTGTGATATATGTGCACGGTAGCATATTATTCAGCCACACAGAGAACCGTATCCTGTCATCTGCAGCAGCAGGGGTGGAATGGGACGATTTTGTGTTGGGTCATAAAAGCCGGCACAGAAGGGCGAGTGCCCCGTGTTCTCACTCATGCCTAGAAGAGTGGATGCAGAGAGCAGAACAGTGGTCCCTAGAGACTAGGAAGGGAGAGGGAGGAGGAGTGGGAGGGAGGTGGGTAATGTGCTCCAGAATCCAGTTACACTGGAGGAATAGCACGGTGTTCTGCAACACCGCAGGGTGACCAAAGGACACAGAACATTCCATATATTTTATAAAGAGGGCGGTTCAAAGGTTCCCAGCACAGATAAATGATAAATGTTGGAGGAGACAGAAAGATTCATTGCACTGATTTGATCCTGGCACGTTGTGTATCTGTACAAATCATCCCAGCTCACCCATAATTATGATCAGTTTAATTTTTTTTTTCTTAAAAAAAAGCAAAGGTGGCAGCCTTGGGAGAATGCTCACGGGTGAATGCCCAGCACGGCGTGGGGCTTTTCTCCGAGGCCGGGTGGAGTGGCCTGTCGGGAGGGAGCTGGTGGAAATGGGTTAACCCAGCCTGGCTCTTCCCTCCGTCCTCACAGGGTTCAGCACAACCGGTCCCCCAGGAGCCCAGCAGAAAAGATTACGAGGCCTACCAGCCGTTTCAGAACTCCACGAGGAATTACGACGAGTCCTTCTTCGAGGACCAGGTCCACCACCGCCCTCCGGCCAGCGAGTACACCATGCACCTGGGCCTCAAGTCCACGGGCAACTACGTCGACTTCTACTCGGCAGCCCGTCCCTACAGCGAACTGAACTATGAAACGAGCCACTACCCGGCCTCGCCCGACTCCTGGGTGTGAGCCGGCCAGGCGCCCGCCCGGAGCAGTGCATGTGCATGCAGACACCACGAGACATTTCTCCCCACCCTGCAAATTTAGTTTGTTCAAGCCTGTTCCATAGGAAGGCTGTGGTAACCAGTAAGGGAATATTAAGAGCTATTTTAGAAAGCTAAACGAATCAAACGTTAACTCGGCAACCAGTAGATCCTAAACACGACAACGGGCCACACCGTTCTAGTCTGAGCTGTAGGGTTTGAAGAGTGCTTCATATGGAAGGCGGCAGAGGAAGGAGGGAGGAGAGGCCGGTGGCGGGGCGTGGAGGTTAGTTAAGCACAAGACACAGAAGAGTTTACACACTTATGGGGGACGGCTTCTCACGCTTTGTTTACTCTCTTCATCCGTTGTGACTCTAGGCTTCAAGTTGCATTGGGGTTCCTCTGTATAGCAAGATGTTTCTTGCCTTTTGTTAATGCATTGTTGTAAAGTATTTGATGTACATTACAGATTAAAGAAGAGCGCATTGTGTATATTACACCAATGCCACCGTGTTTCCTCATCTATGGTTCTAAATATTGCTTCAATTTCAAACTTTTGAAAGATGTATGGATTTCCAGTTTTTCTTTTCTTTTCTTTCTCCCAGTATGTTTTAACAAAAAACAAAAAAACGAAAAAAAAAAGGAAAAAAAAGGAATATTTAGCAGTATTGTTCGTTCTGATATGTGAATTTGTTTGTGGCAACTAACGAGGCATTCAGCAGTTCCTGACGATTAACATCCATCATTCCACTCTCCTTGTCAACAAAGTGCTTTTCCACTGCCTAAAATTTTAGATGTAGATATTTGAAATAGATTTTTTCATTTATACCAGTTTTCTTTATGATGATACAGTGTTAAAAGAAAATAAATTACAATTGATCTGTCATCCATATTTGCTAAGAATGTCTATTTCCAAGGACCTAGCTTACAAAAATACGCATCCTTGCTGTGCGTCTGTGCGTGTGTGGGTGTGTGTATGTCCATGTACGTAGGGAAAAAATGACCTGTGTGAGATCTTATTTGGATAGAAGCGATTTCATTTGCTGTTCATTTGTGCAGACTTTGTTTTTGGTTTTTAGTATCAATGTACATTGGTTTGTTCCTTTCGTACTGTATCTATTCTTCTGACCATCTAGTGACTCAGGATATTAGGCCAGTTGAAGTGAAGTTATAGGATTTTCACACATTCACACATTCTTGGATACCAACTCTTTCTACAGGTCAATTTCCTTCCACGTTTTATGCCCTCAGAACACTACAAACCATGGCCAATCGATAATTTCACTTTGGGGCCAATTACTTGAAGTGTCCACAGAAAATGTAAACTGCTCGCCTTATTCCCCCCTAAACTTTTTGTTCGTGGCAGGGAGCAGTAGACAATTATGGGGTAGATGATTAAAATTGAACTTGAAGCTAATGTTAGACTAGTGGTTAACAGAGCTAAGAAATAAGGCTAACCATTTCAAAGAACACGGGCTGTGGGTGAATTAGCTTCGCTCTTTAGATGCAAGTGACTGAGGCCAATAGGTGCCTAGTAAATGTTAACTGTTCTTGGAAAAAATAAAAAAATAAATAACAAAAGAAATTGGCTGCCATCTTCCTTTAAAACTGACTGCCCTTCACGCCACATAGATTAATTCAGCTCAAAGTCTGAAGTCATGGTTCTTGCTCCAAATTTAACAGTGATCCAAATATACTTCATTTGTGCCTCTTTTTAGAAATGTTAACTTCCAGAATAGAGCAGCAGACAGAAAATTACATATGAATTTCCTAAAAATTACCTAGGCGTTGGACCTTGAAGCTTTGTTTACTGTAGGACTCCAGGATTCTGGGTTTCCTCAAAGAAATGCTCCCACCCCTCCTTCTAGAGAGAGAGAAAGATGTAGCGTTAAAGACAGAGCTTGGTCTTCATCTGAGTTGTAGAGTGAAATGCAAGTTCATCAAGACAGATTGTGGTATAGACGTTACTTATCCACAACCAGTAGCTGGTTTAACCTTTCAAAAGTAAACAGTAGGATGCAGTTCTTGCTGAGAGTTGTGCAGGGAAAACTAATGATGTGCTAACACAGTCCTCCTCCTAGCAGGAACTTGCAATTTTTTTTTAATGACTTTGGGTCTCAGTGGATGGCCCACATTAGCAATTCTTGAAGACCAAAGATGCCTTTGCTGTCTGTATTTCTTTGAGGGCATATGGTACCAGACTGTGGTGAACTGATTCATCCAGGAACCTCTGGGATCACAGCTGGAAGGAGGAGAAGGAAATTGAAGTGTGCATAGTCACTCAAGCCAATCCTTTTTTTTTCCTTTTCATAAATACACAGAGATAGATGATAGGTAGGTAGGCAGAAGGCAGAAGATAGCTGCTAAATGAACAGGAAGGAAGGGAGGGAGGGAGAGAGATGATGGATAAATAACCAACTAGATAGATGGGTCTTATCTGAACAGTAAAATGGCCCGAAGCTCCACAGTCTCCCTTGGTATAAAGGTTGATCAGCTAGTGAAATATAAGATATGTATTGATTAAAAGCCTCAGATGGCAAGAAACCTTTGGTTAGCTTTCACTGTGCTGATGAGCAAGTAAGACACCTCCCCCAGGTGGCTGCTGCTTAGGTCTACAGAGCCTCCAGACCCTGGGTCATCCTCTTGAGATGGGAACGGTATTTTTCAGCTAGCACAACTTCTTCTTCTATTCAGCCCCTTATGGTAGATACTAAATACCCCCAGTGCACTTAACAGGATGTAAGCCCAGACATGAACGCAGGAAAAGCTATCACCCCAGTCTGATAAAGGAACACTTAGACTAGACCATTATAAATAGAATGAACACTTACAAATAAGATCTTTTAATACCGATTCAGCTGCAATACCATGCACTAATATTTCAGTCCTCGTTAACAGTTATGAGTTAAACAATAAAATATCAATTTTCTAAGAATTTGGGTGACACAGAGGTCATATCTTACTGGTGCTGACGTAGGTGAAAGTTAGCCAGTGACGACCTGTTCATCTTGATAAGACTCACATTATGGAAAGCTTCTCTTAAAGAAATAATAATAAGATAAAAGCAGCATTTAAACTGAATAACAAATAAAAATTAAATACATACCAATAACCACCAAAATACTCGATGTATTTGGTCTGTCTGGTTTCTCCACTTGAGCTCTTCCTTAGTGTCTGATATCATCCCCCTTCTTCCTAGAAGCTGTGCCCCTGGGCCATAAGATCTGAAGACCCCCATGTTGGTGTGGGGAAATAACATTAAGTACTGCCTGAAAAATATCTGTTTGCAAAAGTGTTGCTCCAGACTGCCACGGTCTCTCACCAGCCAAATATGAAAACTCAGAATGATCAGCTCAGCTCACCTCAGATAGCAGGAGAAGGCCAAGCCCAGTGGGTTATGGACACCTCAACTCACCGGCTGACTGAATGACAGAACATCTGTATGACACAGAGAGGAGAAAAGCCAAGCAACGGGGGCACATGGTGTTTTAGAACTGCATATCCCAGACGGGATCCCGCTGATACCTGGAGGAGTTCTCTGGGGAAACATGTTCTCCCAGGCCCAACCTGAGACACTTTCTTTCCCAGTGTGGTCAGGACAGCAGGGCTGAAATGCAGGTCAAGCAACCAGCTAATCAAGACCAAACTAATGACCATCTGATCATCAGCTTGTAACCTTGCTCTCTCAAATATCCCAAATAACATTTCACAACTGGCTTGGTGGCAAAACCCGCTCTGCGCTGGCTGCAAGCCCTCTGTGGTCTGTGTTTATCATGCTTAGTGTGGCTGCTCAGATATTTGTCACACACTGTGTGCTTGAGCACCAGGTGCTGCCCAGACTCTGGTGGGGTGTTGGGGTGCTATGGAATTTATGGGTGAATGACTGATTGCCTTTAAAAATCTGAAAATTTGAGCTTAGTTTGCCCAAGAGTTTCACACACGTGAACTGGTATACGAACTGAATAAGAACTGGACTTCTGGGTTTCCAAGGTCTCCTTTAGCTCCTAGAGATAATCTCCAACCCATGGTGCATCTCAGATCAAGATCTTCATGAGGGTGCACCTTGGCGAGGGCTCTGTGGGAAAGAGAACCTTGTGCACATCACATCTCACCTGGAAGTGCCATATTGTTTGGTCACCAGTAGAACCAAAGAGCAAGGAAAATCAGAATGAGCTAGATTATTACTGGCCTTCCAAAGTGAAGGACCAAGACCTTCAGTTCACAAAGAATACCAAGTGCTCCCCAGGGGGCAGGTCAGCCCCAGTGGAGAACCACTGTCCCAGTGCCCTGCTCCAGGTGCTAATCACAACCGAGTTCAAGAACATAAAATGCCACACTCCACAGCGTGGTGATCTGAGAAACAAGACAGAGGAGACAGCATTTGGCTAGAATCTGAAGAAAGGATAGACTTCTAGGGAGCAAGAATAGGAGCATTTCAGGTAACAGAAACAAGAATGAAGGAGACAATATAGGAAGCATCAGGAACGGACAGGGAACAGCAGGCGATGATTTTTATTTTAAAATTAGGAACAGAGTAAGGATTAACTAAGAGAGAAAGAAAAATCAGCTGGGAGCAAAGCTGCAGGCCTTTGAAAAACCACCTTGTGGAAACATTGACAATTTCTTATTGCACCTGTACAAAGATCCTTAGTGTGTGTGGTGACAATAAAGGCAAACTCTAGATGGGTGCTCTAAAACTCCAGCCGGCAGCAGAATCACCTGGAGCACATGACCCAGCAAGCTCGTTCTGAGGGTTTGACTGGGTAGGGCTGGATATGGCTAAGAATTTGCATTTCTAACAAATGATGTTTATGTTGCTTGTCTGAGGACCACACTTTGAGAATGCCTGGTCTAGAGACGATCACTTATGAGACAATTGTAATGATCCAGAAGCGTGAGCATTTTACCCCAAATCACTCCCACACGAGCATTTCCCCATCAAAATCTGCCTTTTCACAAGATGCCTGGGTGATGCACAGAACATTACAGAACAACAATCCAGAAAACAAGTCAGGGTCTGAGTGAGGAGCTAACAGTAAAACTAACAAACCTAATATAAAATATTGTCAGAGTTGATCAGAGGCACTTGCCCACTACTTGATGAGAGAGAGAAGCACCTAAAGATGCCTCTGAGATGTGAGCCTGGGTTGCCCCAAACCTCTCCTTTCCAGCAAACAGAGCCCACTCCATTTGGACATGTGGAGTTACCTATGCTGCTGGTACATCCAGGGGCTGAGCTGCAACCGGCAGTGGGAAATGTAACGGAGACTCCGAACTGGAGATATAAAGGTAGCCATTGCTCCTCTGGGGTTGAAAGTTGGAAAATGGGCATGCATAGAGTATTTGTGAAAAGGAGAATATGGCCAGAAGCAAGTCCTGGAGTGGGGAAGGTTCTAGGGAGGCTATGTGCTACAGGAAAGGACACAAGGTGAAGGCAAAGGTTTCAAAACCAGGGAAGGAAGACCTCATGTGAAGAGAGTGGCAAATGCCAATGGTG